GATTGTGATCCCTTCTGGGACCAGGGTCTTGGCTTTGGTCCTGTACGCCGGGCAGAGCGCAGACTTGATCTGCCCTGGGAGTCTGGTGTTTTTGGTTTTCTCAGTGGAGAAGTTTGCAGTTTGGAGAACTCGCTGCAGAACCTCCTGCGCCTGCCTCAGCCTGTGCCGCGGCCTCGACTAAGCACAGTGGCCCCTACAGTTGGCCCCTGTGGTGCTGCTGGTTCTGGGGCCTTGCAGCACGACTTCAGGTCGCCTCGTCCTGCTAAGGCTAGCGTGGAACTGTCGTGAGGAGAGATCCAAGCGTGTGCAGGCTTTGTGTAAGTGGTCCAATCTGCTGCGCATGGAGCCTGACATGTTTTCTGCCTCGACTGTCGCCAAGTTGCCTGACAGTGGCGATCAGGCTGTTGTCGAGCACCTGGACGTTCTGTTCAGCAAGAAGAGTACCAACACCTTACTGACTCGAGCTTTTCCTCTGACCCGCCTGGTGCTTTGGCGCAGGCGTACCAGCCCTGAGGAAAGCCTTTCCGAGTCTCTGCTCTGGCTCCACTGTCGCTGGCTGCAAGGGTGTGCAGCTGCTTCCAGTATTGACAGCCTTTGACAGCCTGGTGAGCAGTTTCAACTTTGTGCATGGCACCCTTGGCCTGCGGCTTTCTGTTCAGGAGCTCTTGTCCGCACGGGTCAAGGGCCTCGCTCACGCTCACCTGAAGACTAAGGAAGACGTTGACCAAGCTCCTGCTCTCACTGTGGCTCAACTAAGGTGGTTGGAGTTCTACGCTGCTTCCGCTGACGACCTCTACGAGAAGTTGGTGGCCTGTACGCTGTGCTTCATGGTCTACGCGCGAGCCCGTCGCAGTGACTTGGCGAGGGCAACACACATTGACTTTGACCTGACTCTTGATGGCCTCGATGGCTTCGTGGAGTGCCGTGTCAAAAACCCGAAGCAAGCCAAAGCAGCCAGTCGTCGCAACCTCTTCTTGCCCCTGACGGCGCTGTTCACTGGCTTGTCAACGGTGCCCTGGGGTGCCACCTTTTTGGCTGTACGCCAAGCCAACGGTCTGTCGACGTCTGGTGCGCTGGACCACCCGCTCCTGCCTGCTTGTCGACTGGAGGTCACTGGCTTCCTGAGTGCGTTAGCAGTGGACAGCTGACACTGTGGCTGAGGAGCATCCTGGCCAAGGCCCCTGATGCCGACCTTAGCCTGATCGCTAAGGTCCGTTCCCACAGCTGCAAGGCGACGCTGATGAGTTGGGGTGGCAAGGCAGGTCTGAGTGACAAGACGCTGAACTTCCTGGGGTACCACAGTCATGGCGCGAACATGGCCAATGTCGGGTACAGGCGGGATGCCCTAGCTGGGCCTCTTCGTGAACTGTGTGGAGTTGTTGGCTCTGTTAAAGCTGGAAAGTTCGCACCTGACGAGACACGCAGTGGACGCTGGCGTGAGCCTGCCAGCCCTGTCTCGTCTGCGTCTGTGGTGACTTCTCCGCCGAGTAGCGCGGAAAAGAAGGAGGCTGACCTCCCTGTCGTCGACACCAGTAGTTCCAGTGACTCTTCTGCGCTTGAGGCTGCCAGTGACGGCGAGGACGAGCAGCTTGTCTCCTCTGCCCCTCACTTTCTGGAGAACCTGTTGGTGGTTGGGGGCTTCGCCATCGCGGCGAACAAGCACAATGGTCTTCTTCACGTTGTTCGGCAAGAGTCTGGGCGTCTTCTGTGCGGAAGACTTCTGACTGCTGGCTTTTCTGTTTCCAGTTCTGTGGATGCTGATGCCAAGAAGTTTTGTCGCACTTG